ACAAGTTTCACTTTTTAAATGGAATTACTGAAATAAATCTACTTTTTCATGATATTCTAATTTTATGACCAGCACCTGTACGTATATGTTTTTGGCCGTCATATAAATTGCACTACTTTTCTTGTATTTGGTGTTGATTTTTGCATTTGTGTTCAGACGTTTATTCCTTTTGATTTGGTTTGAGTATTGTTTACTCAAGAGGAGGGATTGTTATGGACTAATTATTTATATCTGTTTTACCTTAACGCTGTCCAGTACTCATATCTTATGATAACTAGTTTTGGCTGTTTTAATCTGTTGCCCCAGACTTCAAGACTCCAGCAATGCATGACCTCTCATATTTTGATAAGGTAGTTCCTGGGCTGAGAGCCCTGTTATTGGTTAGGTGGTTACATTTGTCGAACTGTGATTGGTTGTAAACGTGTTACAGGATGTTATATTATCAGCTGCTCTGCTCTGATGCGGCAGCCACAACTTGACAGACTTCTCTGATTGACTTCTGCTCTGTTGTTGCTCAGATTAAATCATTTGACGACCATACACGCAGACTTTCTGTGCATTTATTCTAACGTGTTTCTGCATTCTTGGTAAATCTTGCCACCACAACAACAAAAATAATAACCGCTTTTCGGTACAAAACGGTATACCGCCCAGCACTAGTGTGAAGAACGATTCTTAGCTCTCAGACAATGCTGTTGAGTTGAGGTAAGTAAAGTTTTTTTCCTCTTCTTGTAACCTCTCTCTGTTTGTGTCTGTAGGCGTCTCCTCCCTGGCTTCCCTCCTGTCCCTCGCCTGGGTTTTGGCGTCCTACCACAAACTACTGCGAGACTCCCGGGACGACCAGCGCAGCATGAGCTACCGCGGAGCACTGCTGCACCTTTTCTGGCGCCTCTTCACCATCTCGTCCCGCGTCCTCTCCCTCGCCCTCTTCGCCTCCCTCTTCCACATCTACTTCGGTATCTTCGTGGTGGTCCACTGGTGCGCCATGGCCTTCTGGGTGGTGCACGGAGGCACCGACTTCTGTATGTCCAAGTGGGAGGAGGTGCTTTTCAACATGGTGGTTGGGATCGTCTACATCTTCTGCTGGTTTAATGTGAAGGAAGGGCGTACACGTTCCCGAATGATAGCTTATTACACTGTGGTGTTGGCTGAAAACTCCATCCTTACTGGCCTGTGGTGAGTCCTGACTGAATTCTTGACTGAGTGATCCACTGATTTGGTGAAGTCCAAAAGGGTCCGAGATGATCCCATCAAGTGGGTCAACTGGTTGGACTTAAATATTTCCTCAAAAATCTTTAGTACAGCTACATACTTCCAGTAAAAAATCTAAATGTAACCCTATAGACATAACATTAATTTGTAGAATGGTTGAAAATTGTCCACGTTTGTAATGTCATTTCAGTTTGATTGGAACCCAGTGGTGGGCACAGCTAACCAAAATGTTAGCCACGCTAACCTCCAAACTGCTACTTAAAAAGTTAGCTTCACAAATGTTAAACCACTGAACAGGTAAAAAATAATTAGTGGAAGCTGTTTGAACAGAATTGTGAGTCTTGGCTAAAAACTCATAAAACCATTTCATTGTCCAACAAAGAGTTCAAACTACTATTAGTTGAATTGGAAAATGCTACAGATGCTTCACATGGCACAGATGTGCACTGGGGATAGTTGTTTTGTTAGCAGATTTAAAGTAAGCAGAACTTTCACACACATCAGTTTGCTAATGGTTTCCAAAGTTAGCAAAAAATGCTAATTTGCTAAAAGAAAGATTAGCTACGCTATTAGCAGTTAGCTGACTTAAAATATGTTTTTGTATTGTAAGGCTCGCCTGGAACACACTGGCTCCAGACGGCCAGCCTTACTGTACCCCAGCTCTGGTTAGGTCTGGATTGAGAAGAGAACCGCCTCAATGTGGGCAGGATGATAATATTAAACCTGCGCAAATTTTATTTTGTTTTATTTGCCACCAATAAAATTAACTGACTACAAAAAACTCAAAGGAGAAGTACCAAATATTGAACTGGATCATTCAGCAGCATGATGCTGAAGACTAGGACAGGATGACAGAGAACGGTAAGCTAATGGTAGCTTTTTGTTAGCTTATTGTTAGTTGTGCACTGCAGTTGTTTAGTTAAATTTGTGTGGGAAAAAAAAAAACAGAGTAACTCCAAATGATACAAGCAGAGCTAAATTTAGCTGCAGCTAATTGGTTTGATAATGGTTTCCAAAGTTAGCAAAAACACAATTGCGCTAAACGAAAAGTTAGCTCCAGTATTAGCGGTTTGCAGAACTAAMTTTAGTGGAAGCTAATTGGCCTGCTAACAGTTTTCATATTAAGCTAAAAACGCTATTCTGCTGAAGAAAAAGTTAACCCGCAGTTTGTGGATTAGTGGAACTGTGCCCATCGCTGCTGGAACCTAAACAAAGAAACTTTGAAATCACCTCCAATTTCTTTATTAAAAATGCTTAAGCTTAAAGATCCCAAATTAAATTTGTTTTTTTTTTTTTGGGGATGTGGATTGTTGTTTTAGCTGTTTTCCTGCTTCAACACACATGATTCAAATAATTTAATTACCTAATTGTCATCAAGTTTAGCAGTCTTTCAATCACCCATTCATTTCCGTCAAGTGTGTTAAAGCAGGGAAACTAAAACCTGAAGGACAGTGGGTCATATAGAACAACATGGAAGACCTCTGATTTAGGAGGTTGGTGTTCAGTAGCTGAGCAAACAATTGTTATTTCTRTGAAAGTGGTCAGAAATAATCTCAAGGAAAACCTTGAAAGAGTTTTCCTAACCCCATCCCCAAATTAGGTCCCATTTGTAAACACGTGCTGACTTTTCTCTGTTACCTCGCAGGTACGCTTACCGTGATCCAGCGCTGACCGACTCGTACGCCATGCCGGCCCTGTGCGGCGTCTACCTGACGTTTGCTGGGGGCGTCTTGGTCATGCTCCTGTACTACGGCTTCCTGCACCCAGCCACCGCCCACCTGCAGCCGAGCCCCGCTTCATCCTGTTGCGCCCAGCTGCTCTGGGGTCTCCCGCTTCCSCCCTCGGCTCCGCCCACTGCTCCGCCCACCCCGGCCCACATGGCCAAGTCGCAGACGGAGGAGGACGTGGCAGAGACGTGTCTCCCCGTCTTCCAGGTGAGGTCTGCCCCCCCAACCTCCAGGCCCGAGGGGCCGCTCATAAAGATCGACATGCCCAGGAAGCGTTATCCGGCGTGGGACGCTCACTACGTAGACAGGCGCCTGCGGAGGACTATAAACATCCTGCAGTACATAACGCCTGCCGCTGTGGGCATCCGCTATCGTGACGGACCCTTGTTGTATGAACTTTTGCAGTACGAGTCCTCGCTCTGACACACACCCATCCCACACGCACGCACACACACAAGTACACTTGAGCACACACAGCACCATAAAAATGTACGCATATGTGATTGTTCAGATTTAGAGAAGATAGAAACATTTTCATGTTCACAAAGTTGATATAAGCACATGCGCATTAAAGCAATCTCTCACGTGCACAATCCCACACACACTGTCCCGTAGCCATGACTCAGCAAGATGCTTCAGCACAAGTCCATCTTTACCCGTTTTCAACTTATTTGCTCTGTTCGGCTCCTTCGGGTCGCGTTTCATTTGGTTTTGTTCTTTTGAATTTCGCTCCGCTGCGAAGAAAACTTGCAAAAAAGAGAGAAAAAAATAAGATCCCTATTTTTGTTGCGATCATCATCATCATTCGTTCAGAGGTTTCAATAGAGTTAAGCAACATGAGACGAAGAAAGAAAAAATATTAACTTTTAATAAAAAGGAATTGTGAATATGTTGCTGTTAGTCTAGTCCAAAAGTAGTGTAAATATTTTATTATGTGCAAAAACAGATGTATTTTAATGTACTGTGACTTTATGGTTGGGCAGGAGGCAACATAGAGTAGGTTTAAATTGGTTACCASAAAGAATCAGAGCAGGATTACATAACTAACAAAAGAAAAATCTCATCTGAGGTCAACTAACATGACACTTTAGGGAACAGGAAACAAAGGACCRTTGAGGACCACAAGACAAACAGTTTTTTTTTAAAATAATAACTAAACAGAAACAGCCTGATTAATCTACCTTTAAAATAAACAATTCCTCTTCACCAGTACAAATAAAATGTAATACAGAGCACAAATTATACCACTGTAGATATAAAACTCCGCAGCACAATAAAAAAAGCAGTTGTGAAAAATACTATAT